CTTCGGTACTTAAATGATTTACAACATATTGTTTCTAAAAATTCCCGTTGCTTAATTAAAAATTAGTAAGAAATTAAAGTACCAACTTCCTTAGACAAAGTTGACCGTAGATAAATTTGGTTATATCTTTTATGCCCTTTTGTCGTATAGCTTTAACGTTTTTACGTATTAATACATCCATGAATGGCTTTCAAATGTTTTAGTCTGAGCGTTCCTGATGAAGGTAAAGCCAGAAAAACGCATTGGACACACGAAATGTACGAAGTGTTATTTTCATTTAATATATAGTATGCTACACATAATCATGAAATTACGAGTTGAATCAAGCCTTTCGTTGTTTTCCTATGCATTGTTTTAACGTTGTCACGGAAAGTACGTCCAGTAAAGATTACAGAATCGCATGAAACTCTTATGAATGTAATTATATTACTGAAATTACGCATTTCCCTTGATTTGCCATTTTAATCATTTCTCTTCATCAGATTAAATAATATTTCAAACTAGAAGTGTCGGAACGACATGAATGTCTGCCTTGTCTGCAGTCAAATACCATGCAGTGTCCGTTATTCCGCGAAGAGTAGATAGTCAAGAAACAAAAAGCGATCTGAATTTTGAATCTGTAACACATCATCCTACACTTAAATATCAACGGAAGACCAATATCTATGCAGCTTAATATCAACAAGCATATACGAACCTAATTGTTGACTAGATTGTAGTTCAGTGGTAGTCGTTGGTTCATGTCTGTCATATTTAATTGTTTTTTCGTAAATTGTTATGTTATAATTTAGGCCGTTAGTTTTCTCGTTTGAATCGTTTCAAATTTTTCATGCCGGGGCCTATTATAGCCGACTATATGGTATGGTTTTTACTCATTGTTGAAAGTTTCCCATATTGCTTACATCCACTTCATTTGAACTCTGGTGGATATTTGTCTCATTGGCACTCATACCACATCTCCTTATTTTCATATTGGGTATATAAATATGGTCAACTCATGCAGTAATGAAACCCGTTGCACAGAGAGACGTTCGTTATGTTGTGCGGGAGGTATAAATACTTAGCCGCGTCATGTCGAAATTGGGACGTGGAATGCCGTCAGGTCTTTGCACGTTTAAGAACCTTGGCAATCTCTTTTGGGGTACGTATAGGCATTATTACTTCAATTGCCTTCGTCAGATTCGAACCAATTTGCAAAACCTACCTACTTAATTTATTGTCAATTTGTTCTCGTCCTGGATATGTATGAATTGTTTAACAGACTGCAATTAGTCTACCGGCATAACGAAAAAAAGAATGCGAACAACTATTGAACTCGGAAGGAAGAAATGACTGAAACAGGTAACAATGTATGCCTGTGTGGTTGTAATTATTTGCGGGGCATACAAATGGTAGTTTATATATTCCTTACCGTACACATGCAGCAGTTTGACTTAGCCAAAAAAGAATTTTAAATAAATGATAAATTTAATAAAAAATGAAGTCCATCTTTATATTAAAATAAATATACCTTTGTTTCAAAACATAACGTTTGATAAGTTAAGGTTCAAATGGGGGAAATGTGCTTTTATGCTTTATAGTAGATGTTACATTTTTTTAAACGGTTCAGTTAAGATTAAACATCAGAAAAAAAATATTGTTATTTTTCATATTTTGAAATAGGTAGGCAAGTTAAACCTTGAATCTCCACAAATATGTGCTTAATTGTGTCTAATTATCAGTATAACCATGGAAGTATTATATTGACAGGAACTCCAACAAGCGGACTTCAAACGTTTATAGTGCGATGCCGCAAAATCGTTAAGTATTTGTTAATTTACTCGACATGTCATATGGATGCATGGGTTCCGATAAAATTTTTGGAACCTCGTGATTGATCGTAATTACAGAACATACCGAAATAACAGGATGTGTACTTAATTGTCAAGGAAACGACATTAACCGGCCATGTCAGTTTTTCCGATTTTGCTGCGTAAAAACAAATACAAAGAAACGAAATCCCCGTGACTGTTTTCACAACAACAACAAAAAAAAACAACAAAAAAACCAAATTTCTTTAAATGCCGATCCAGAATTAATAAATGCCATTCGTAAAAAAAATCTGTCAGACGTCAGAGTAATCTCGGACTAGGTTGAATGTTTAAGGTTTGTTTACAACTTTGGACTTATTATAAAAGGTGTAACAATTTATCTGTCTCGTAACCTGATATTGCTATGTAGAGGTCATCACGTGCGTGTAATTATAAAGCCATTTCAGTCTTTAAAACATATTTGTTTAATACGTACGTTAATAACATTTTTCAAATTGAGACGATAGAGAAAACAATAAATTTTTTTGTAACATTCGATAAAAATTAACAACCTTAAAACTTAAATTTAAGCTATCCGGCAGCATCCGGCACACTACACGTGCATCACATTGTTTTCCGCAAACACCCGACTTTAAGTACATGTAATTTTTGATATCGGATATTTCCCGATTTCCAAGTTTCAATGATTAAAACATATTAAACAAAACTAAAAATAAGCTTGCCCTCTTTCAGAATGCAGTTAATTTTCTTATGTCATTCTGTTAAATATGGACCGATTTTTTCGATCTTTCCAGCTTTTGTCTTTATTTATTGAACGGAAACAGGTGTCGTTATTACTTTGGCGATTCGCAAATAACCACGGGAGTTTCCGTGTTTATTTACATTGGTAGGTAGATAAGACACTCGATACCAAATCACGTGATAAGACCAGCTTCAGTTAACAGAACAGGCGAAGGCGGCATCGCAGATACCCCACAAAGGAGTTATCACGTACTTGACAAACTGAGTCGGAACCTTTTATTTTCTTCAAGAAATCAGTGGGATGGGAATGTGCTAATTTTTCGTTGGAGTTCCTGTCAATATAATACTTCCATGGTATAACATACTATGATACAGCCTGTCTCTGTCGAAGAGGGTTTTTTGCATTACTGGTACTACAACTTGGTCGGTATTGTACATAGATACCTGTTCCAGGTGAGGGATTATATAGATGTTCCTTGGAGCCTCTGGTTTTCTTCCTACAAACACACACTGTTTAAAAAAGCTTCCTGGTGTTTCAAACAGGGATGTCGATTTTGATACATCAAATACGCATTTCGACCAATAATATCTCTTCATTGTTACTCGAAACCGAAATAATGGGAAAACGACACCTGAAATAAATGCTACGGTGCTGAAAAAACGAAAAAGGAACAAAATCCCTTCAAACCTTGCAAGGAATCTAAACTACATGAGCATAAATTATATTTACTTTAAGGTATTTGGAAATGAATCAAATCGAATGTGCGAATGAAAACAAAACGTTATTAATTTCATGCGTCCAAAGCGCCTTTCTGGATTTACCGTCATCAGGTACGCTCAAAACCATATTTGAAAACCGAGGATGTATAAGAACCGAAAGAGTTGAAGAGCTATAAGACCTAAAAGTACCTAAAAATAGCCAAATTCATCTAAGGTCAACTATGCCTGAGGGAGTTGAAACCTTAGTTTCTTTATAATTTCAAAATTTATAAACGGACAATATTAGAAAGATTTGTTAAAAGTCATGTCAGTACTGACTACCTAGCTGGTGATACCCTCGTGGACTGATAATCCACCAGCAGAGGTATCGACCCAGTGTATTAAAAAATGAAAACAACACGTTATTGGTTTTATCCGGATTTACTTTCATCGGGAACGCTCAAATGAAATATGTGACGGCACAGGATGTATAAGAATCGAAACAGTTGAAGTGCTAATTGACCAAAAAGTACCTAAAAATAGCCAAATTCATTTAAGGTCTACTTTGCCTGAGGGAGTTGAACCTTAGTTTTTTAAAGATTTCAAAATTTATAAACGGACAATATAAGAAAGTTTTATTATAAAGTATGTCAGTACCGAAGTACTGACTACTGACTTCTGAGCAAATGATACCCTCGGGGACTGATAGTCCACCAGCAGAGGTATCGACCCAGTGCTGTAAAAATGAAAACAACACGTTATTGATTTCATGCGTCCGAAACGCTTTTCTGGATTTACCTTCATCAGGAACGCTCAAGCCGCATATTTGAAAGCCAAGGATGTATGAGAACCGAAACAGTTGAAGAGCTATATGGCCAAAAAGTACCTAAAATAGCCAAATTCGTCCAAGATCAACTTTGCCTCAAGGTGTTGAAACCTTAGTTGAAAAGATCAAACGTGGACGGAATCATTCGACATCATTTCCAGTATGTCTGACGTCTCCGACAAGCAAGTGATAGTAGACTTTAAAGATATACTACGACGCGTGACGGATATTTTTTTATTAATAAGGTCAAAAGGATTAACGTGTGTCATTATACATATGATAGTTTGTGAGATTATAAACATATCTGTAGTAATAATCATTTTCTTCAGAAAGCACCAGTTTTTGTTCTGTTATCTTCTGTCTGATTATTACATCAAGATTAAATATGTTACATAACACAATTGCCAACAAGTATTTGACAAGAGGGACGTCCAAACCTGAAAATAATTGCTGAATTAAAGCCTAATCACTCCATCAAATTCCAATCCTTCTTGTATGTTTCTTACCTGGTTTACACCTGTAATTAAATATTACACCGCAACCTTGTTAACAGCTGATAGGGATCTACTAAGTCTCTCTATAGCACTGCACTGACGCTATTTAAAGTGACAGACTAAGACAGACGTATCAGAGTTAAATCAGTCAGAAATAATATGGATATACCCCCGTGACGTACGACAATACACAAGGACAGTTTATACAGATTGCTCGAGACAGACCTCATTTATTATCCAAATAAAAATATCACACGGTAAAACTAATATCATTTTATTGTACTGCCGTGAGGAAGATATTAAAAATCCAAGTACGAAAGTTGTTACCTGAATAAAATCATATAATCGACTTTTTGTAGTAGATTTTGTCTTTATTTAATAGGAGATGAAATTATGTTGATTTTACAATTGTATTGAAAGTGGCGCTAGACAGCTCTAGTTGCATAGTATTATGACAGAGCTTACAGGTTATAGTATGTACTGCTCGGGTCAATTGCGCTTATCAACTCTGACAGAGAATTAATATCACTAAGTTTGATTGGTTCGTGTGTTGTTTGTTGTTAGATGAATGGGCGGTGATATAAACAGTTATGTTATAAACTATGACTTGGAATTTAAACATAATTTACTAACTACTTACAACTTTTACAATTGCACATGTTTCATTCACAATCGAGGATATGAATTCTAGAGATAATACGTGAAAACAACGAAATAAAAAATGCGTATTCTAAGAAACTTACAGTGCAAATTCTTGGATGTGTGGAACTTTGCATGGTTATTTTGGCGTGAGTATTTTTTTATACAATTAATTTAAGTTTGGTTACAATTAGAAATATTGACACTTGCATGCTTGCTGCTTTAAATTTTCGATTCCCCAAAACATATATGAAGTCAGCACACTTTTACAATTTTCCAAGTGAAGTGCTTCATATACGTCTTGTATTGTTTATAAGGTGTTAATAATAAGTTATGACAAATGTGCACTTAAATATTTGAATAAAGTTAGACGAAGGCTATCGTAGTTCATCAAGCAAAAATAAATAATTCAACAAACACATTATAGATTTTCTTTGTACGATATTATACTGTATACGCTTGAAAGGAAAGGTAAAAAAAATACTGTCTAGTTTTAAAACAAACTTATAATAATTTAGGCTTTTGAAAATCTAAGAATTTCATAAAAATTTAACCTTCAAATGATAATCTTTCCCATTTTCAACATGACTTAATTTTCAGTAGTTTTCTCTTCAATGATAAAATAAATTAATATATTTGAGGAATAAAACATTAACTATCTTGTTTAATTTAAAAGTTTGTTCGGTTTTTTTTTTTGGAATAATTGGTATCCTAGTTGTTCCACAGTTTGCACAGCTGACAGAAAGCGACAGAGTATAACTTGAAGCTATAATAAAATCAATCTTTTGAACTGTTAACCTTACAACCAAATGACCCCATATAAAATTGATATGTAAGTTCCACTGTCCAGTAAATCACCCGTTGGACATGTCAATATACAAATTAAGGATGTTTAAATGATTATGAATGGAACAGTATAACCAGATATTCCTGTCAAATATCCGTGAATGCCTTCCAGCTCACCGAGCAATATGCAAAGCAGATGATATCATTTTGTTATTTGACGAGAAAATGTCGAAGAGCTGTTGATGAAATTGGAGAAATGTTTTGAAAACTTGTTGATTTGTCTGCGTTTATTGTAAGCTAATCATACTTAAATTTGCACCGAGTAATTCTATAATTTATTGATGACCATGTCTCGCCGAAGTCTAATATATTGCAACATCAATAATGATGTACTTGTGACTACATGAACACTGATGGAATAAATATGTATCATCCAAATTTCTGTGGAAAAAAGCGATTTGGATTTTTTTTAACAATGAAAATAATTATTATAAATAATACTATATATAGTAATATATAGTCGTTTGTCATGTAATAAAACAATGAAAATAATTATTATAAATAATACTATATATAGTAATATATAGTCGTTTGTCATGTAATAAAACATGGCTCGTTTATACATATTGTGCTTAATATTGTTGTAAATGATGCCCTTTATGGGTTCTTGATTAGATTAATAAAATTCTCTATAGTCTCATAGCAACGTCTATAAATTGCATATAAGTATAAAAATTGTTTTTATAAGTATAACCTAATTTTATTTTTGAGAGTGTTGTTAAATGAAAACATTTTATCTTAATACAAGCAATATCAATATTGTATGCCTCTAACATAACACATTGTCTATAACAGAATAAAACGAAATATTTCCATATCTGTTTCAACTTTTATAAATTACATTTCATTCGATAATCATGATAATGCATTACAAAAATAAATAGAGGAACAAGTATATTCCGAACAGCATATTATAACCGATGATACAAGAAGATAAAACTGGCGGTATGGTATATCTTCAGGCTATATAGTCGTTTGTCATGTAATAAAACATGGCTCGTTTATACATATTCAATTCACGTTTATCAGTTTTAGACTTTTAGCAGGCTCATTAATAATGAAACTACAAAAATGTATTTGTAATTATTTTTGTTTCAAATTCTGACAAGATGAAAAATCTTTTTACTAATGAAACGGAACGTTCTAATCTTTTATTTACAACAAATATTTACAGGAGTGATAAGACGTTAGAATTTATAGAAAAGAACCGATCTCCCAATATTTAAAAGTTCGGTATGTTAAAAGAATGATATGCAAGATACCATGGGTGACAACGCATTTATAATGTCTTGCTAAAAGTTCATACTCTTTCCTTCAATTTCAAGTGCCTTGCAAAGCCGTATATACGTCAAACTGAAACAAATAAGTTTACATAAGTTCATCGGGGTTTGATTTAACTTTTATAGTTCAATCGCTATCCTAAATACTAATGGACTAATTACTTCTGGTTGCTAAACCGTTCAGTGACAAATATTACATGCACATCCAATTCGTTTACAAGTAGATAAATATAATATTAGCTGGGGTATAAAAAGTAGATGTAATCTAAATTAATGAATATTGGCAAAATGTATTCATCTTGCCATTAGAAATGGCCGGAGGGAGTCTCAAACCATACGTCAATGTACATATTCCTCGGCCACCCAAGGTATCTCATTTTCTTTCGTGTTTCATAACTGCTTACAAGACTGAGTTGAATCTGTAATTTAACATCTGGGTAAAATGTTGTTTATATCTATTTTCAGTAAATATTGGACTTTTTCATCATTTTCTATTTCTCACCTGTTCATTTACCTGTCCCGAGTTTACTTATGATAACGATTCCATAGTGATCGTTTGATGTATCATTATAATGTGTTTGTATAGCCTTACACTTAATTCTCATTAAGTCTTGATCTGTAAACAAACTTTGTCCCCGCCTTTCCGTTTAGTATACATAAATCACTTTAGGGATTACGAAATAGAGTACCGCTACATACCACTGTTTATGTTAGGTTTATTTGAAGATGCCCATAAAAACACAAACGTCGCTTAGATAACGTTCACTGTTTTCGTTTTTGGACATTTCAATTTTTTTTAAATAAGTGGCCTTCATTAATGACAAGGGCGAAAACTGGGTAGAAATATTTAACCAACTGCATATAAGGCTTAGAAAATCAAAAACTGGGAACTAGCAGTAAAACACTAGCAAATCAAATCAAAAGCAATCAAGGAAGACATGACCATTGTAGAGTTTGCAAGTAAGTATAGACATGACCGTTGCAGCACTATAGCAGCACTATAAACACAATTGCTGTAGGGTATGCGAAGAAAAAAGAATACGGACACATAGCCCTCAAATCTAGAACATTTGGCAAAACTAATCAAAATTTTTAAAAATCAGTGTAAATACCTACAACTTTCTCTAACTTTTCTGCTAAGCTTACAACTTCAATCTGACGATAAAACTGTTACTAAACAAACAATTACACAACTTTGTATACCTCTAGATCCCCCCTTTTTTGTAGTTGTCTTGTCTCACTGATGTATACCCAACGTCTACATTTGTTCTAAAACAAAACTCAATTCAATGGCTGCTCGTGGGCTCAATTATAGTACCCTTTCTATTGCCATTGGTGAAGTCCTCATACTAATAATCACTGCTTTTAAACTTCAGTACATTAAAGATGAGGTGTTCTACACTAAAACAACGTTATTCATTTACATGTCTGCAATCTTTACAAAATAATTTTATCAAAAGCTTTTACTGGCAATTATTCCCATGAAACCCCGATTTATATAACTTTTTCGATGTAAAATCAAGCCTCTGGCACATTAGAGTTCAGTGTATACGATATCTGTCAAATAAAATTGTGCAGCATCCCGACTCTGTCTAAATTATCTAAATAATGGTAGATAAACGCTTTAATTGAAGCAGTGACTGGCTAAATAGTCTGATAGACACATGCCATCTTTATGCAATACTTTCGGTTAACTTCCAGTGGTGCCTTAATTATCTTTTTTTATGAATGAAGAATTAGGCAAGGCTGTCATTTACCTTTGGAAAATATCAGTAAAATTATATAAATTGTTACCATGCAGACGCATAAGGAAATCGTCTTTGGGATTTGCGTGTAGTATACTTTGTCAAACCAAGTTACTTGATTATAATTACAGTTACGCTCATTCGCCTTTTGTAAGTAGCCCTCAAAATATTAGGTTGTCCGTCCGTCCGTTTACAATCCTATCCTGCTCTGTATCGTGAGTACCACTGAATGGTGTGCCGCAAGGTTTTCAAGCATGATGATGTAGGTCATGAAACATAGCTAAATGTTGCAACACACTGTGTATTGCAACATTAAGCTATGTTCCTGCGAACACATCTTGTCACTTGTATTTCTCGAATACTGCATGACAATATAAGGATATTGTGTTTCATCGATCAAGGCCGTTTGAAAATGTAGTGCAATTAAGGTTGCTACAAATGTCTGAAAGGCCAATGTCACAAGTTTATATAAATGTTGAAGACCGTTTGTTCATGTTCACCTATTTTCCGTCATAAAATGTCTGCTATCACTTGAAAGACTTTTTGTTACTTAGTGTGAATTTAATAAAAGTTTCGAGAAAAAGAATCAAATAATTTGGTTGCAAACTTCATATAATTTAGTAAACCCTAGGTTTGTATCTTTTATTTATATCACGGATACTACGATGGATGATTGGTTGTTCACCACTTGGAACTTGTATACCGAATAAGTTACGAGTCTGTAAAAGGTCAATAAAGCTTAATGTTAAGGTCATTGCCACTGCAGTGGGGTCTACAAATGCCCAGCCAGGCAATACTATATCCCTCTTGATGAATAATATTTTATAATAATATTCATCTTTAGTATACTATTAAGCCAAGTGATAAATATCTATAGACTCCTGTCCGAAGAAAACACTTAACAGTAGTTGACATTTAAGCAGGACCCTAAAGAGGTGTGTTGTTATCATATCATAAGGTATATCTAGTTGAAATATAAATTTTAAACATGATACCCCAATTTACTCCTTATAGGAACACTACGGATGCCACTACTGGAGCAGGCATTCCTAACTCTTTGGAAGCACTTGATTATTCAGACTGTAAACTGTTCTTTGTCTCTTTGCTTTTTTTTGCCATGCACGGTCCCCTTGTTATGTTCTTTCCAATGAATAATATACACATGAAAAAAAAACTTAACTGAATGGCAAAACCAGACATGCAAATACTTATTTAAAAGATACCGATTGCACAATAGATTTATTGTAATAGATGCAAATATTCCAATTTAAAGTTAAT